TCTAAATAGATATATAGTGATAGATAATGTATAATAAAAATTGTACTAGCTATAACTAATATACTAATAAAGACTTGAGAACATAATTTTATCTTAATATTAAAAAAATTATTTTTAATACAAATATAAAATTTTATAAGTAAATTAAAAAAGTTGTATTAATAAAAGTATTATTTTTTATATAAACTATAATATGTATTATATTAAAAACTATGTTTAAAATTAGTATTAAAAAAGTTTATTAAAGATTATAAATAATTTTTTTAATTAAATTTTTTTTAAATTTGTCTATTTGTAATTTATAAATAAGGGTATTATAATTTATCACAATAGTAATATATCACTACCCCTGATCGACCAATTAGAATGCAAGATCAGGTGTAATGTGAAATTAAAGCAAAACATTGTCTTTTTTGAATAATCATCTGTAACTCAAGATTTTGCATATGAAACCACCTTTTACATTCTAATTAAAAAAATTCCTTGTAAAATTTTAGGTTAAAAACTCTATTTCCTAAAGCCACGTATAAATCTAGTCTAATGCTAACCCTAACCTTAAACTAATGCATTTTTATTTAAATATTACACATGATCTTATAAGTGGCGATACATTGCATAGCCGAAAAATTATAAAATCCTATAAATAACTTAAATATTTTTTATAATATAAAATTAATATTACTATATTATTTCTTAATTTGTAAGCTTTTTCAAATAAATTTATTTGAAAAATTATTAAAATATACTTATAATTTTTTTTTAATTTTTAAAATATTTAAATAAAATTTTATTTTATAATATTTAAAAATAAGGATTATATTATAGTAGTATTTAATTTTATATTATAAAAAAAAATATTGTTTATAAACTAAAAATAAATAATTTAGAAAAAATTTTTAATTAAAAAAATTATTTACTAATTTTTAGTAAATTCTTTAAATATTAATTTTAGTTTATAGTTTTTAATATATAATAATTTTTTTTAAATTGAAGTTTTTATCTTTAGGTTATAACTTTTTTATTTAAATTTGTAAATATAAATGCCTTTAGAGATTTTCTTACATTAAAGATTATAACTAGTTACATATACATTTTTAGTATCTAATTTAAGTAGTTCATTTATATATTACTATACAAGTTTTATACTAGATATCATATCTGCAAGCTAATCATAAGTCTTGCCTATTTATACCTTTTGTATATACAGTTTTTTTGTATTATAAAAACATTTTAAATTATTATTTATTCAAGTTTTTGATGCTTATTAGTATCTTTAAACCTACTTTATTCTTAACAAAAGACTTATTAGAGTCTGTTATATTCTATATATAGCTGATTTAGTTTTATGTAGCATGCTATAGTTATCTAACATTTGCAATTATAGGAGTTATTTATTTAACTATTATGTTATATTATTTCTATTTTTGTAAAGTTTACTAAAAGCTTAGTATTTATTTTTTTGATACCTTCTCTATTATTCTTTGCTAATTATAGCTTAGAATCAACAAACTCTAATCAGACTACTAATTCAAATAGCCTGATATAGTATACTTCTGTATTCTTTTTTTTTAATGAGTTTGGTAACCTAGTTAGTTATATTTTTTTATACATATTTGGCATTTAGTTTATCCAATTTGTTTCTATAAAAGTATTTTATAAGCTTTAACTAGTTTGATAATACTGTTAAAAGTTCATACTACCTTTTACTTAGAAATTTTTAAGTAAATTTTTGTCATCTTGATTTCTTGGTTTTCTATATTTGGGGTATATCTAAAGTGGAAGCAAATTACATAATGATGTTAACAATTATTTTTAAATAATTGTTTTAAATTTTTTTCATTAGTAGAGACTTATATATATATTTTTTTTCTTTGTTTTTTTTTCTTAAACTCTGTGCAGATATGCCATGTAGGTGTAGCTTTATAGTTTTTAAAGTAATCTATAAGTGTTTTTTTAGTTTTGTTTTTTTATAGATTTCTTTTTTTTTTTACTAGCATTCTACCTATCCTAATTTTTATTTGTTTTTCAAACTATGTATCTTTGTTTCAATTGCCCTGTATAACAACATTCAATACTTATTTAATCTAGATGTTTTTGTTACTGAAAAATAAAGATGCTAAAGTTTTTTTCTTTAGCATAGTACAAAAAAAAAATTATGCCAGAAAAAAAAATTTATAATATAAAAAAAAATTACAATAAAAAAAAAAGAAATCTTTAAGAAAAAAAAAAGAAAAAAATCTAATTATCATTAAAAATTAAAAGTAATTTTTAAAAAAAAAGTTATGTTATGATTACATTAAGTTGTTATTTATTATGTTAGCATCTTTAATTGTGCTAGTTGCTACCTTATTAGTTATTGCAGATTCTGCTCTTTTGGTTGCATCAGTTACTATTTTATTGGTTATTGTAGATTCTGCTTCTTTAGTTGTACCAGTTTTCTCTTTGTCAGTTATCTTTGCTCTTTTGTTTTGATGTCATTATTGAATCTTATACCTGATAAAAAATAGTAACTTTTTTTAATGTTAGCTGTTTTCTGAAGATTTCAATAAAAAACTTTGACAACAATTGATGATCATTAGTTACAAACTGTTGGACATAATAGGATTTATACAATTATATAAATGGAAACATTTAAAATTTTTTGCTTGTCATTTTATAAAGCATCGTAAATTAAGCACCTGATAGAAAGAGAATATTCTAATTGAAAAATACTAAATTACAAAGACATGACTATCTGATTTATGTTCTGCAAAAATTAAAGTTTCTTGGATTGTCTCTTCTAAGATGGTCCAAGTAGAATGATATAAAAACTTCTCTGATTACACATATTTAATATCAGAAATTAATAGGATAAAACAGTTAGAAGCTGTTAGAACTTTAGTTGAAAAAGAGGCAATTAAAAATTACTTATCTCTAGCAATCACAGCTGCAATTAAGAAATATGCAACAACAACATTAGAGCTTGGTAAATCTGTATGTGATTTAAAATAAAAGAAAATAACAAACATTAAGTACAAAGTTTGTGAACCTATAAAGACCCATCTTATTGTTAACTCAAATTTAAAGGTTAATGTTGCAGAATCTGTTTCTTATTTAATAGAAAAAGGTTATGTTGTTAAAAATTATTGTGTTCTCCAAAAGTCTACTAAGGGTATTGTATTTGCATATTCAGAAAAATTAAAAAAACTTGAGTACCACAGGTAGTTAACACTAATAAATTCTACTTATAAAACCAACTGTTATAACTGACACTTATTCACTCTTTATGTTCATAATATTTATAGATGCTAAAATGTAAGTGCATATTTTTTTGTAAGATATAAAGATGAAAATACAGTTGTGAAAACATTAATAATAATTTGTAATAAGTATTGTAATTGGTCTCCTTGTTACATACTTTTGAATTATAGCAATATCGAAGCCAAGAGCATTAAAAAAACCTTTTTGGTATAGCAGCTGGTGAGCAAGAGTGTCAAATTCTTTTGTGTATTGTTCATATTATAAGAATGTGAATGCAAAAAATTTATAATAAAGAAACCTGAAATATAATAATAGTAGCAATGCATAAAAGAACAAAAATAGGATATAAAAGTCTAGTTCAAGATGCAATCAATCATTGTTTCATTCTTGTTATAAAAAATTATATCAAAAGAAATTGCATGAAAAATACACAACAATAGGATTTATAGGCCTGTCTGCATTTTTTTTTTTTTTGCAAGTTATGTTTACAAATGCATTAGAATCCTTTTATTATAAATTAAAATATAAAATATCTTTATTATATAGCTTAATTGGTACATGTGTTAATTTTTTTTATTCTTATTTTTTTTAATTAATACTTACTGTTATATTTTTTTTTAACATACTAGTACCTATTTTCTTAACTTATTAACCTCCTTTAAATGCTGTTTATTGCATTGTCAATATTAATTATAAAAAAAGATTCAAAGTAGAAAGTGCCACCTTTGATTTTTATATTAAAAAAGTATTTATGTATGGTATCGATAATAATATTCTTAGTGAAGTGATTAGGTTGTCAACTTTCAAGTAGCAGGTTCAGAGTTCAAATTCTAGAGTTGATGGAAAATTTAAAAATCCTTTCTGTGTTATAGTTAACTGTCTCTTGCAATTAGTTGGGATAAGATACCTGTTACTTGTGTTGCACCAGCATGACTAACAGATCATATGGCATTTGTGTAATAGTCAAATAACATTATTCTTTGGGACAAGTCTGTAGTTATACAAAGGAATACAAATCAGTACTAGGCAGTGCAAACCTACAATAAGTCTATGTGGCTATGTAAATCATAGAAACCAAAAAAAAGAAGACAGAAGCCTACTTGGAAGACCTGAGTAGAGAGATAACTTAAACTTTTAATGGTGCTACTTTAAAGACTAGACTTATAAAATTAAGCTAGAACTTGTGAAACTGAGCAAATGTGCTAGTCTTTAAGGAGGAATCAGATGAACCAATTAAGCTATTAGAATTTTCAGGTTCTAGAGAAAAAGAATATATGCTGGCAAACATATAAACTAAAGATGTATAGTTTTAATCTATTTTTCCAGACTATTTGAAATAGCAACTTGGTGGAACTTGAATTGAATACCAAAGTAGTAAAAATATGTTGTAAAGTTAGTACTAGGGTTGGAGTAAACTCTACAAGAGCATAGTGGTTTAATGATATGTTCTGACTACTAATGTTAGTCTTAGTCATACTGATATCAAGTTAGTTGTAAGAATGGATACAAAAGATTCTGAAAGGTTTAGTACAAAGTCAAAGATTTACTATATGAATAAACTGCTTTAAAGACTTAGTAGCCATAGCATATTTTTATCAGCATTGGACAGGATTGTTGGTAAACAGAGGTAGATAAATGAATTTAAAAACTAAAATAATTAAATAAAAAACCTACAGACAGGTTTTAGATATAGCAGCTAGTATAAAACCTTTAGGTAAACTACTTAAATTAGACAATGACTAAAGTTGTACAAGTGTCTAGTTGTACACTCTTTTTATGATTGCCCCCTGTAGTTGTAATGCAACTATTAGCCAAATATACTATTAATAAAATCCTGAATCACAAGTACTCACTTTAATATTTAAAAAAAAAAGATAATGTTATTCTTACAGAAATTTATAAGTTTTCTCTACTATTTCAACACTTACTCATTAAAGAAGCCTCTATTGTAATAAATAGGCTTGAAAAAGAAAAAAATGCACTGAGTTTAACTTCTCTTAATTGTCATTGCTTATTTTATAATTGATATTTATTGTCATACAAGCACATTTTCTATAAATATATGTATAGAAATGTTAGATTATTGACTGCTAATATATAGAGGATGTTTCAACATAAGTTCGAAAAAAGTGAGTTTGAGATTTATAAAAATTGTAAATTATTTATAGAGTATATGCAAACAGAACAACTAAGAAAAACTAAAAATCAAAAACTTATTGTTGTTAAATTAACTAAAAAAATTCATAATAGATATTAGAGAATTGAAGAGACAGATAATGTTAAAAAGACTAAGGCTTTTATTTCTAGGTTAGAAGCTTCATTGAATCTTATTTTACAATTTGATCAATTAAATAAAAAAAATTTGAATCAATTAGATAAAAATAAACAAAAAAATTTTAATAAATATAATAATACTTTTCTAAATATATATATTTTATTGCTTTAATTTCAAATTTCAAGTTAGAATTTTATTTTCAATCTAAGAAAAAAAAAAGATTAAAGGAAAAAAATCAAAAAAAAAAAATTAAAAAAAATATTGAAAAAAAATTAAAAAAAAAAATTCAAAAAAAAAATTCAAAGAAAAATCAATCAAAGAAAAAAAAATCAAAAAAAATTAAAAAAAATTCAAAAAAAAATTTAAAAAAAATAATTTGAAAAAAAAATTTAAAGAAAAAAAATTTGAACAAAATTTATTAAAGGAAAAAAAATCAAAAAAAATCAAAAAAAATTTAAAAAAAACAATTTAAAAAAAAAAATTTAAAGAAAAAAATTTAAACAAATTTTTTTTTTTTGAAATTTTTTTTTGAATTTTTTTCTTTGAAATTTTTTTTTTCTTTTTGATTTTTTTTTAAATTTTTTTTTGAAAAATTGGTGTTTTCTGACCAATCATCATTCAGATTTTTTAGTTAATTATATACTATTTTATGTGATTTGTTTTCATTTTAGACATACTCTATATTTGGTAATCTTATTATGAATTTGCACTGAAGTCTTATATGATATTAATTATTAATATTTTTTTATATATATGTAATATTACATTTCACATAAATGCTCCAAGTGTGGAGTGTGGTGATCTAGTGAAATGGTCAGGTTGTCAACTTCCAAAGTGGTAAATTGGATATTCAAATCCTATTGATAATGAAAATTTGGATAATTACCTATGTAATATTCATATTATAGTAACTGTTACTAATAATTGGGTTAGAATATCTGTAATGATAATCACATCAGTATAACTGGCAGGTCATAGGATATCTGTGTAAGTATGGCATTATATAGAAGAATGCAAACTAACAAATTAAATAGTGCAAATACTAGATAAGTTCTTATAAACATATAAATCTATTGAGATTATATAATAAAAAATCTATTTGGGAAAACACAAGTAAAGAGGTAGCTGGATCTTTGATGACCTACTGTAAAGGCTAGCTTAGAGAAATAAATACCAAAGTTGTAGTACCTGGTCATAGTAACTAAACAGACAAAAACCTTCAAATTGGAAATCTCAAAGGTACTACCAATCAGGCTGCTAAAATGAACTGGAGAAAAAGAATATCAGGCTAACCTAATATACTGATAAATTGGTTGTAGTTCTACATAGACTATTTGGATTAGAAGTTTAGTAAAAAGACAGATAAAAAGGCAGGATATACTAAAGTACTGTGATTATGCTATAAAGTAAATGCTAGGGTCTAAGTGAACTCTATAAAAGCATAGTAGTTTAATGAGTAAGCCCTAACTGCAAATGTTGGTTCTATCATAATAATATCTAGATTAGCTATAAAAATAGATACAGAAAGCTTTAGAAGGTTTATCTTAAAAATAAATTAGTTCTAAGATTGAGATGATGATCTGGGCATCTGGATATAACTCAGTAAATTAATACAAGTTACAGGTTCAGAAGGTTTAAAGTGGAACATCCAAGCAAAAGTATTAAATATGACAATTGGTAAGGAACCTTTGGGCAGACTTCTTAAATAGGTAATATAGAAAAGTTACACATGTAGCCAATTGTATACTCTCTTGTAGTAGTTTATTAAATCACAATACTGATAAGTAATTAATAAAAATCAAAAGACCAAAGAGGACACTTTAATATAAAAAAAAATAAATAAATACTCCAAGCTTTTAATATTATATAAAATCTAATTTGATATATCTAGTTACAGCTACATGAAGTCAACTGATTAACAGAAAACAGTTATTGTAATATAAATATAATTTTCAAATTTTATCATAAGTAGGATTTGAACTTTATATTTGCTACTTAAAAGATAACAACTTAACTACTATACTAGAATTGCTATTTTCTATAATATTATAGATGAAAGCCTTCTTAATTTTTATACTATAATAATGACATGGCACAGAGAATCTCTTATAGGTATATGCAGTATTCAAGAGAGAAGTATAGCTTTTGTTAGATGTTGTCAAGAAACTATATTCTTCTCTGAGGCAGTTTAGGGAAGATAATGCAATACTAATAACTTTATTTTATTTTACTAAGAGGTGATAAACCTTGCCTATAGGAATTATTTTAGAGAAGAAATATCAATACAATTTATAGTCAAAAGCCATTTATTAAAGTAATGACAAGAAGGGTTATTCTTAGGTTTCTGTTCCTAAAGAATCTTAAGATATGTTTATAATATTAAAGAAAAGAAGGGTGTCTGTTGCTTTTTGCACTTAGAGAATTTAGCAAGATTTATATATCTGTGAGCTAAGCAGCTAAGCAGCCAAGTAACTAAGTGATTAAGTGACTAAGCGACTAGGTAACTAAATAACAAATTGATTACTAAGCAATTAGAAGGTTCTAACAACTAATGACTAATGATTACTAAACAACTAATTACTAAGTAACTAAGTAACTAAGCAGCTAAGCAACTAAGCAACTAAGTGATTACTAATCAACTAGAAAGTTCTAGCAACTACTAGTAATAATAATAATATAATAATAGAATAACTAATAATAATAATAAAATAATAATAACTAATAATAATAATAAAATAATAATAATTAAATATACAGTATTGAACACTTTTTTCGCTGATCCCTTATTCCAAAAAACAGACAAAACAAAATAGTAACAGCAAGCAAAAACTAACTTAGGAAACCTATTCTAATAACTTAAAGAAAAAGAAAGTAGACCAAAAACAACATTAAGTTTGATAGAAGCTCTTTTTTCTTTAAGTCAAGTACAAAGTACAAAAGAACAGTTT